AATAACTTAATGGGTCCATTTTATTTCTCAACTAACATACCAATTGAATTAAGGGTGCGTCTATAGTTATGATACGCAGTGTATATTATTGATCAGCGTAAAATTCTATGACGATAGCCATGACCGTCTGTCTGTTGTAATCACTCTAGCGTCTACACGAATTGAGATAGATCACCAAAATTTTGCATAGAGTCGTCTTTTGTCTGCAGACAGGTCAAGCTCGAAGATGGGCTTTATCGGTCCACGTTTAGGCATAGCTCCCATATAAGGGTACCCCCAAATTTTCGGTATTTTGAGGTTCTTGAGCGCGTTTTTCAACTGAATTCCCAAAAAAGGCTGGTCAAGTTCGATGATGGGATATATCAGTCCACGTTTAGGCATAGCTCCTATATAAGGGTACCCCCAATTTTCGGTATTTTGGGGTTCTTGACCGTGTTTTTCAACCGAATTCGCTGAAATTTGGTACGTTGGGTTCTTATTGGGCACTAAATGTCTCCACAAAACCACTTTTTTGAGTTCTTAATAGGTACCAAATTTCTCCACAAAAAATTATGAATATAGGTCCATTTTTTCGGGTAGGCCTCGATTTGCACGAAATTTGGCATAGCGTACTGAATTAAGACTGGAATTATGTGTGTTTAGCTTCGTGAACATCGGTTCAGATTTGTATATAGCTCACATACATATCTTCGTCGATTTTATGTAAATATTTGTCCGATTGAGACAAAATTTTGCACAGGGCCCTGAATCAGGTCCATTCTTATGTACGCGAAATTTTGTTGGAATCGGTTCAAATTTAGATGTAGCTCCCATACATAATTTCGTCCGATTTTATGTTAATGATGCACCAAACTCCCAATATTTCTCCGATTGGGAAAACATTTTGCACAGAGTACTGAAATAGGACCCGATTAATGTCTGCGAAGTTTTGTTAAAATCGGTTCAGATTTAGATATAACTCCCATATTTAGTTTCATCCGATTTTTTGTGAATGATACACCATATCATTATGAATTTCTTGTCCCGATAAACCTTTTTATGTAAATATTTACTGACAATACGCACTTCTAATGTTTCCATTGTAAAAAAATTGCGGATGCTTCTTTTTTAAATACCTGTTTCTATGAAGGAGTTGCCAGATCGAAACAAAATTTAACATGTGTTCATAACACGGTATAGCTTTTTTCTGTTTATACCGTGTTTTTTTTCTAGGCTAAGAAGTTTCCGAACTGCCCTCGTATGTTTGTTCAATTTACACAAAATATTAGTTATCGTATTGAATAGAAATTTGTTAACATTGGTACAGAATCAAATATATCTTCCATATATATTTTCATCTGTTTTAATTAAAAATCAACTTCGAATGAACATCGCTCAATAGCTGATCCAGATAACCCTAATAAGGTCATAATTGATTGACATTAAAACTAATTCCCAATAATCCCAAATGGAAGAGCCAACACCAAAAAAACACATCAAGTTCCCATGACTCGCGGTAGCCCACCATAGAGCTCCTATTTTTCGGTATTTTAAGGACTTTTGATACGTTTTTCAAACATAACGACTGTATTGTGATATTTCTTATGAGGGTGTAAAATCTTCCCGTTAAAAATATTAATACCTGTTGACGTTTCGATAATATCAAGGTTTAAATCACCTTTTCCTACTGCAGTAATTATAATTTCGCATTGATGGGTTTTGAAGGATGAAAACAAAAAAATTATCGTCCTCATTCCCCCCTTAAAATTACTGTAATTTGGCATTCGCGGTTCTTGTCCGGTAAGACACAATTATAAAATTTTCTACATATGTCAATGTTTGGACATATAATTGTTCTGTCTCATTTGCTGATTTAAAAAAAATGTATTTGACACGAAATAAAACTTCACAATCTACGGACAAAAAAAGTTTTATTTTTATTTCAGTTTAAAGGCTTAAATTAATAAAAATCTTAGATAATAATTAAGTAAATAAAAATAAAAAATAGTTATTAATATTATTAGCTCTGTAAAATAGATATAATCATATAACAACAAATCGTTATAAACAATATGTACTCGTATGTATAGCTTAAGGAAAATAATATTTACACTTAAAATAAATTAGTAAAAAAAAGAGGAAATAAAGTGAATCAATAATTATTTCGTGGAGATTATTAAGCTGTAATCAATGTTTTATTTTATATAATAAAATAAAATTGTTTTATTGAATAATAATATTTGAATATTTTTAATTTTATAATTTCATAGTATTAGTTGTAGACGAGCGAAATTGGACGCTATAAACGATAGTCGTTATAAACGATACCATATAAATGACTCATATTTTTACGGAATTTTTAGTTACCGATGTCATTATAAATGTTTTCGACTGTATGTGTATTTGTGTAAAGTTTTCAACAAAAACTTTACCACTATACTTATATATAATTTTTGCCAATTTCTCTTAAAATTACAAAGTATTTTTAATTTTTTGTTATTTAGTATTGCTTTTTTATAATTAGAAATGTTTTTTATGTTGTTTTATATTATCAATAACAGAATCAACCATATTTGTTTTTGTTGGATTGTATTTTTGTTTTTTTTTTTCAATAAATAATCACAGGAAGTGCAGCAAGGTTTCCTCATAATTTCAGTTTAATTTTAAAACCTGTTTTGTTTATTTTTCTTTTTATTTAATATTAAACATTGATTGAAATAGCCTTCTTTTCAATACCATTTACGTGTGCATCTGAAATGTTTCGTTTAAGTAAACCAGCCTTCGTTTCTTATTCGATAATAAAATAAAACTAAATATATTTTCTTTTTCTGTATTAAAATTAATGGAACAATTCTTTTGAAAAGAAATGATATGTGAATTATTTTTTTAAAAAAGTTATTTAAATTTTTAAAATGTTGTTCAATTCAAAACAGGATGTAAGGGAGGCCTCCAGATATATATAAAAATGTATATGACGGCTCATCTATAGTTATAGGAGCTCTTCTATAGCTATAGAGGTTCCTCTATACTTATAAAGGTTCCTCTATATTTATAGAGGCTCCTCTTTATTTATAGAGGCTCCTCTATATTTATAGATGCTGCTCTATATTTATAGGGGCTCTTCTATAACTATAGAGGTTCCTCTATATTTATAAAGGTTCCTCTATATTATAATAAAGGGCTCATCTATCTATATTTATAAAGGCTCCTCTATATTTATAGAGGCTCATCTATAGAGCAACCTTTCCCTCCTCTATTTTTATAGAGGCTCCTCTATAAATATAGAGGCTCCTCTCTATTAATAGATACTCCTCTATATTTATAGAGGCTCCTCTATATTTATAGAGGCTCCTCTATATTTATATATTTATAAAGGCTCCTCTATATTTATATATATATTTATAAAGGCTTATATTTATAGAGGCTCCTATATATTTATAGAGGCTCCTCTATATTTATAGAGGCTCCTCTATATTTATAGAGGCTGCTTTATATTTATAGAGGCTCATCTATATTTATAGAGGCTCCTCTATATTTATAGAGGCTCCTCTATATTTATAGAGGCTCCTCTATATTTACAGAGGCTCCTCTATATTTATAGAGGCTCCTTTATATTTATAATGGCTCATCTATATTTAAAGAGGCTCCTCTATATTTACAGAGGCTCCTCTATATTTATAGAGGCTCCTCTATATTTATAGAGGCTCCTCTATATTTATAGAAGCTCCTCTATATTTATAGAGGCTCCTCTATATTTATAGAGGCTCCTCTATATTTATAGAGGCTCCTCTATATTTATAGAGGCTCCTCTATATTTATAGAGGCTCCTCTATATTTATAGAGGCTCCTCTATATTTATAGAGGCTCCTCTATATTTATAGAGGCTCCTCTATATTTATAGAGGCTCCTCTATATTTATAGAGGCTCCTCTATATTTATAGAGGCTCCTCTATATTTATAGAGGCTCCTCTATATTTATAGAGGCTCCTTTATATTTATAAAGGCTCATCGATATTTATAGAGGCTCCTCTATATTTATAGAGGCTCTATATTTATAGAGGCTCTATATTTATAGAGGCTCTATATCCTCTATATTTATAGAGGCTCCTCTATATTTATAGAGGCTCCTCTATATTTATAGAGGCTATATTTATAGAGGATCCTCTATATTTATAGAGGATCCTCTATATTTATAAAGGCTCCTCTATATTTATAGAGGCTCCTCTATATTTAATGAGGCTCCTCTATATTTATAGAGGCTGCTCTATATTTATAGAGTCTCCTCTATATTTATAGAGGCTCCTCTATATTTATAGAGGCTCCTCTATATTTATAAAGGCTCCTCTATATTTATAAAAGCTACTCTATATTTATAGTGACTATAGTATATTAATAGAGTCTACTCTATATTTGTAGAGGCTACTTTATATTTATAGAGGATCCTCTATATGTATAGGGACTTCTCCATATTTATAGGGGCTTCTCTATGTTTATAGGGGCTTCTCTATACTTATAGATGTTCCTTTATACTTATAGAGGTACGGAGGCTCTTCCATGTTGTTTGATACTGTTCAATATTTATAGATGTACCTCTATATTATTAGCAACCCCTATATATAGGCTCTCCACATTTAAGGGTTGTATGCAACTTTTTTGGAAGTATTTTGGGTTTAGCAATCTGTTTTTAGACACACTGAAATTTTTTCTTAAGCAATAGATTTTTTTATCCCCAGACAATCATTTTTTTCTCGGACCTCTAATATTATTTTAAAAGCACCATGGTTGTGCTTGCAAAACCAAATAATTTGGAAATTTGTTGAGTTAAAGACCAAAAAAAAATGTGCGGAGGTGAGTGCAGGGCAAGGCCAATATTGGAGCTTCTTTTATTCTGCAGGAAGATCATAAGGGAAAGGGAATCACCTAGTTGAGGAATGTTTTAGTTTCCATTATAACCACTCTTTCTACTCCCCCTTTAAATCGAATATGTTGGAGTTTGTTGTTGCTGCTGTTGATGTAATAACAATAATTGTTTTTGTTCTTGCTGCAATTTATGGACAATATGTTGTAAGAGTTTGGTTTCATGTTGTTCCTTCTCAAGGGTTGATTCGACAGGATCTATTGGTGACTCCGTAGTTAAAGAATGACGTCTATGATGGACATTAACATAATCAGTATTAGGGGTAACTAATTCATCAAGCGATTTCTCTTTGTCATCATCGTGATTAGCATGTCTTGGATGATTATTTTGTTTCTCATGGCTTTGATGATGACGCTGATGTTTCTCCTGATGATGATGATGACGACGATGTCTTGGATGATTCCGATAATTATATGCAACACCATCTTCTGCCACTTCATCTTCTCCGTCATTTCCCTCAACCTGTTCATCATCCATTGTCTCTGTTTCGATTTCTCCCCCATCTTCTTCTACCTCGTCAATGGATTCCTTTAATTGTTGCCCATTCAAATGACGCTTATGATGCAAATGTTCTTCTTCGTCATCCACATCGCTGACTTCCTGTAAATGATTATTGGCCGCTGCTGCAGCTGAGGCTATTTGTGTGGTTGATTCGTTATCGGCTTCACTGGAACTGGTTTTATGCGTTAAATTGAATAGTTTATCTTTAAGACTAGCATAGACGGTGTCGGGTTGAGTGTTCGGTTGGTTAATTGGTGCAAATGAGGCATATCCCATTAATTTGACATCTAATCTTGGGTACCTGTAATGCAAAGAGGAAGATTTTGTATTAGATAAAATAATTCAGTTTTTCGATTAGGAATGTGATTTTAAAAGTAATTCCTTTTGATGTTTAGAAACATATGTATAATGGCATTATACCGTTGATCACAGTTTGTAGGGTATTTAAAAATTTTGCACTTACCTTGGCACCTCGAGCGTCGCAAATGGAGACGAAGGCGAGTACGGTCTGTAGTAATTCCACGGGATAGCAAGATCTGTAAGATGAGAAGTTGGAAAAATATATATATTTATTAGATATATTCTTCTATCAAGGTATTATTAAACATACAAATAAAGCACATTATAAATATATTATAAGCTAATATTCATTTTACAGCACAATATGCGTAGCGAACAAACAGCATTATCATATGTTAGCAAAAATCATAGTATCTAGTTTCATTAAAGCTGCATTAAATGTATCCTATCTAAAATAAGTTATTAAAGCTTATACATGCGTATTGGCACGATAACAACAACATAATATTTTTGGCCAGCCAGTAGTAATGGAAAGGCGTACATAGAGAACACGGCAAACAACAATCATTCAATATTAAATAATTGGAATTTTTTGTGTGTATTTTGTTTACTTTAAGTAACAATAATAACAACACTGTTTTTTTTCTATCGTTCAACCTTACCAAAAATTCCGAATTTATTAACGATAGTAACATAATATGTAATTTAATACTTTCTTATAAATTGTAAATAAATTATCACAAAAAAAAAATGCGTGGAACAAAACGTTTACATAGAAATGCAAATTCATTGAATTTCCATTGTCTGTCATATGGTTTTAACAACAACAAAATTTTAAAATTTTTGTGTTGTAAAAAAAGAACAATTTTTTTGTTTTTACTTTTATGCTGATTCACACATAGATGTCTAGACATGGTTTATAATTACAATATATATGTGTAATATAAATATTAAATTCACAACAAATATTTTGTAGTGACGTATCGTCTGTGAAGTTAAATATTTATGTTTTTTGTTGTACGTTTACTAAGAACGAACCAAAACGTGATTTCAATTCTTTCGTATGAAATTTGATATAAAATATGTGAATTTGAAACGACGTAAAAAAGGTCAAACATTTTTTTCTTTGTTTTACTTTTGACGAATTTCTATCCAATACCAATATGTTCCCTCGAAGGAACATACAACTGGTTTTCTGTAAGCTGCTAAATTTAATTTCATTGGGACAGATTTAGAATTTATTGAAATCGATTTATAGTAAACTTCAAACCCGCTATTTTGTATGCCGCTCTGGTAAAAAATAATCTCAGCCAAACACCCGTTCGAAGTATATAAAGAATATATGTCTCAATTTGATATGTTGTGAAAAATTTCGTGCCAATCGAACAAACATTAGGAGTTTAATGCATCATTTAACTAAAATCGGGCGAAGATCTGTTATTGGGAGCTATATCCAAATTGCTACCGATTTTCGTGAAACTTAGCGTACATAATTTTAGACACAATTCAGAACGATATGAAAAATATATATATATATATTTATATATATATATATATATATGGTAGCTATATCTAAATCTGGACCGATTTTTATGAAACACATCATTCTATACTCAATTCAGTTCGCCATGCCAAGTTTCGTGCAAATCGAAAGATATATAGGGATTTTGGTGCACCATTTACATTAAATCGGAGGAAAATATATATGGGAGCTATATCTAAATCTGAACCGATTTTCAAGAAACTTAACACACATCATTCTAGGACTAATTAATTACGCTGTGCCAAATTTCATGCAAATCGAAAGATATATAGAGACTTCGGAACACCATATACATTAAATCGGACGAAAATTTATATGGGAGCTATATCTAAATCTGGACCGATTTTCAGGAAAGTTAGCACACATCATTCTAGGCTTAATTCAGTACGCTTTGCCAAATTTCGTGCAAATCGAAAGTTATTTAGAGACTTTGGTGCACCCCTGACCAAAAATCGGATTTTCAGGAAACTTAGCACACATCTTTCCAGGCCTTATTCAGTACGCTGTGCCAAATTTGGTGCAAATCGAAAGATATTTAGGGACTTTTACCTTAAATCGGACGAAAATATATATGGGAGCTTTATTATAATCTGATCCGATTTTTACGAAACTCAGCACACATCATTCTAGGCCTAATTCAGTACACTGTGCCAATTTTCGTGTAAATCGAAGGCCATTTAGGGACTTTGGTGCACCATTTACCTTAAATCGAATGAAAATATATATGGGAGCTATATCTAAATCTGAACCGATTTTTATACCCTCTACCATAGTATGGAGGGTATATAAGTTTTCTTTTTCTATTTGTAACGCATCGAAATAATTATTTCCGACCCTATAACATATATTCTTGATCAGCGTAAATTTCTATGACGATCTAAGCATGTCGGTCTGTCTGTTGTAATCACTCTAACGTCTAAACGAATTGAGATAGAAAGCCAAAATTTTGCATAGGGTCGACTTTTGTCTGCAGGCAGGCCAAGTTCGATGATGGGCTATATCGGTCCACGTTTAGGCATAGCTCCCATATAAGGGTACCCCCAAATTTTCAGTATTTCGGGGTTCTTGAGCACGGTTTTCAACCGAATTCGCTGTAATTTGGTATTTTGTAGTCGTATATGGTAACAAATCTCCCTACCAAATATTATTAATATTCACCCCCTTTTATGGCTAGTCCCCATATAACCCCCTTTTTTATTTTAAAATAGCTGATTTTTTCCGTGTATTGGGGTTATCTCATATAGCTGTATTCCACAATAGTAGGGGGGATATTCGGTAGGCGAAATTTTCAGTTCATACCCCTCATAGTATGGAATTCTAAAACGATTTAGTCGATTTAGGCATATGTTGTAATAATTTTTCTCTCGGAGGGTATCGACATAAAAGCTAAAACGTGAGGTTTGAGAATGAACTGTATCGGCCCGCATTTAGGACCAGTTCCTATATAAAACATCCTACCTATTTAATATTTAGCCTGATGGACGGTATTGGGATTCAAACCTAAAATATTAGCTTGGAACTTGAGCTACATCGGCCCTTAATTAGGCCTAACCCCTTATATAATGAAAACACCAAGTAGTTGCTAATTCCTACACAATGTTGTCAATATTGGTCCCGCTTTAGTATGCCTCATATATAATATACCCCTCTAAATTGGAGTATTTTCAGCATTTTATACACATGTTTCAGCGTTAATAATATATGTCAACATTTTAGGGTTTAGCGATTTTAGGAAAAGACTCATTGAAATTGCTGAATTTTCTATTTGGTTTACAACAATCGATTGGAAGAATTATAGTTATATATATATATATATATATTCCTTATGTTTTCATTTCAAAAATTTGTCAGTATTTCTATGGTGGAGGGTATCCAAAGTTCGGCCCGGCCGAACTTAACGCGTTTTTACTTGTTCCCAATTTCAATAGGGTTCGTCCCTGTACTTTGTTTACAATTTAACATGGACAGACAAACAGACGGACGGATGAACATGCATGAATTGACTTAGAAAGTGATTCTATGCATATTCTCAAATGTACCATGTGTCTATCTCGTTACAAACATATGCACAAATATTGACCCAAGTTTCGAGAAGCCTCTAAACGTTACTCCCAGTATTCGGTAAAAAAGTTTTCTCATTAATTAACACATATCCTTACCAAAAATTTATATTATAACATCAATATTGAACCAATTTTTAAAGTTGCCGTCATATAACGGCCATTGCCATTTATATGTGAAACACATATGAAAATGCTGGAAATTGCGAGTTGTTCCATGAAGAAAGATTTGCTTCCTCAAACTTTCCCAGCAGGCAGATTGAGTAAATTGAAAACGGGAGCACATTTAATAAAGAACAATTTCAAATTGTATGCGTTCCTAATTTTCCTGTAGGGAGATTTTTAAAAACATAATTTGTCAAATGCATATTGACACTAGTATTACGTTGGAATCAAATCAGCTGGGATTTGCTGTTACCTTTTATAATTGTACCATGGTTTATACTAAAAAGTGTGTTTTCAAATATAAAATGTCAGAAATATATAGCAACCTGAAAGTATATTATTCTTTTCAAATTTCCAAATTTTAAATGTTTACATTCAAAAATTTTCTATTGAATTATTCCTAACCAAAACCAGTATTATTCTTATTTCATTTTTTATCCGTTTCCTCAATTTTTTCGTTCGTGTTGTAATAACAGTTACTTATGGCAAACAACACACTTACCTGCCTGATTGCAACTTGGTGGCTTAAAGAATAAGCCCGGCTTCAATGGCTGTTCCTCCTCATCGTGAACCTCAATCATTAGATAGCCGACCAAAATAGGGGTACGGGTCTGTTGATTCTGTTCCATTTGTTTGCCGACATTTTCCCAAATATAAATGGCACGGCGTATGTCAATTTCCACCCAGCCGGTTGTAGAGACATTCATCATGATGGTGTTGCAGATACGCTTCTTACGTTCTGTAACGGAAAGCGGCAGAGCAAAGCAAAAACAAAAATAAGCAATAAAGCACACAGAGGCACAAGAGAAAAAGAGAGAGAGACGGAGGAAAAAAATGCAATTAATTAAAATCGCATTCTCTAAAATTGCTCAATAATTACCATACACACCACGTTTATTGCGACGCGTTTGCTGGACAATCGATACGGTTACACGTATCTGAGCATCCAATATGGGTTCAGCACAACGTTTCGGTTTAGTGGGATCATCGGAAACATCTTCATCATCATCTTCGGTATTACCTCCACCATTGATTATTTCCTGTTCGTCGCGGGTGTCATTTGGATTGATTTTGAAAAGACGCAAAATGGCCGATTCCAAGTTTAAATTTTGCATTTTTTGTTCGAAGAGGGTACTAGAAAATTGTATGGTAATATTGTTATCCTGCATCCATGATGCCTCAGTGGTCTCCATATTACATGTGGGATATGCGGCCATTTCATGTAACGGCGATTCAATAATTTCTTCGGAGTTCTTTGTCTGTATGGCATTGCTGATGCGATTTTTGATATCATTTATACTGAAAAAAAAAATAATAATGTAAAAAAGGTTAAATATTTTTCAGAAAATCAGAATCAATTTTTTTTAAAATATGTTTTTTTTCAAAATATATTTTCAACTCCTTATAGGGGCTCTTATTCAGTCCCCATATGAAAACTTCTGGGACTTCTTCAATGTATTTGCTAACAATTTCCTTCATAAATTTTATGAATTAAACTTTACACGATGTCGGCGATTACGACACAACAAATACTTGACATTTTTTACACATTTTTACGAGAGTACTATTTTTTTACGATTTTCATTTATGCGTTGTATTACGATTTCATTGTACTGATGTTGTTGTTGCCGCCAGAACTCAGCATAATTATTCATTCATGCAAAAAGCGTACTCTCACACACCAACAAACTTGTAATGAGTTACTGGGCATGAATGCACCAAGGACTAGAAATGTGTTGATGTGTTTGTGTCGATATGCTAAGTCTGTAATGAAGTGTTGTTGGTGTTTTTTTTCGTGCTTTCATGTAAAGTTAATGTGCGTCTTGTTGAGGCTGCCGTTGATTTTTTTTGTGTTGTTGTACAAAATATGGTTTAAGGGCTACTCAGGTTAACTGCATAATTGTTGTTATTGTTGTTGTTTAATTGTTGATGATGGGCTTTAGGTTGAGCCGACTTCAATGTTTGAAGAACCCAAAGAAAAAAAGTCAGCAGTAACAGCCGGCTAGACAGTGTCTAGCCGCGTTTTGTATGGCATATCAAAACAAAACCAAAAACAACACACACACACAAACACCAAGCACTCAATGTCTAGAAAATTAAACCAGCAACAAACACAACAACAACAAGAAAAAACTGCAAAATCAACAACGACAACAACTCTTTTGAAAGGAGCACAAACACACATAGCGAGAGCAGAGATTTAGAAAAAAATTAAAATTAACACAACATAAAAAGTAGCAACAGCAACAACAACAACAACAAACTCTATATGGATGTCGGTCTCAACAACAACATAACTGCTGATTTGATGTAATCATAATCAGACCTCCTTGGGTAAACATACTCGAACATACATACATATATATAGGCATCAATTTATTAGCCTTAGAATGCGGATATATTAAGGTGGGTTCGAAAAAAAAATGTTGAAATACTTTGGCAAGAGTGGATTGTTAAGAATATTTTTTCGGGGACTTTTTGAGGCGTGGGTTCTTTAATTGTTTTTATACCCTTCACCACACTGTTGTATAGGGTATTATGCCTTTGTGCATATTTTTGTAACAGGCAAAAAGAATCGAGATAGACCCATGGTTCCTTTTGCGAATATGCATAAAATCACTTTCTGAGTCGATTTACGCATGTCCGTCTCTCCGTCCATCCATGTATTTTGGTTCACAAAGTACAGGTCGTACATTTATGATCCGATTTTGATGCAATTTGGCACATGTCACTTATTTGGCCAAAGGATCAACCCTATTGAAATTTGAGAAAATCGTTTCACATTTAGATATAGCTCCCATATATAGTTTCGTCCGATTTTTTGTAAGTGGTGCACCAAACTCCCAATATTGCCCCGATTGATACAAAATTTTGCACAGAGTACTGAATTAGGTCCAGATAGATGTATCCGAAATTTTGTTGAAATCGATGTTTAAAGATGGAGACAAAATTTAGGTCCAGGTTGATGTATCCGAAATTTTGTTGAAATCGGTTCAGATTTAGATATAGCTCCCACATATAGTTTCGCCCGATTTTTTGGAGATGGAGACAAAATTTAGGTGCAGGTTGATGTATCCGAAATTTTGTTGAAATCGGTTCACATTTAGATATAGCTCCCATATATAGTTTCGCCCGATTTTTTGTAAGTGGTGCACCAAACTCCCAATATTGCCCCGATTGATACAAAATTTTGCACAGAGTACCGAATTAGGTTCAGGTTGATGTATCCGAAATTTTGTTGAAATCGGTTCAAATTTAAATAAAGCTCCCATACATAGTTTCACCCGATTTTTTGGAGATGGAGACAAAATTTAAGTCCAGGTTGATGTATCCAAACTTTTGTTGAAATCAGTCCAGATATATAATCAGTTCCCATATATATTTTCGCCCGATTTTTTAGAGATGGAGACAAAATTTAGGTCCAGGTTGATGTATCCAAAATTTTGTTGAAATCGTTTCAGATTTAGATATAGCTCTCATATATAGTTTCGCCCGATTTTTTGGAGATGGAGACAAAATTTTGCACCGAGTACTAAATTCGGTCTAGATTGATATATGCGAAGTTTTGTTGAAATCGGTTCAAATTTAGATATAGCTCTCATATATAGATTCACCCGATTTTATGTAAATGGAGCACCATACTGCCAATATTGGTCCGATTAAGACATCCTATTGCACAGAGTACTTATTTAGGTCCAGATTGATGTATACGAAGTTTTTTTTTGGAATACATATATTCTTCCGAATTTAATATACAGTCAATGTTCTCCGATTGAAACATAATTTTGCATACCGTATTGAAGTTACTGCAGGTTTATATATATATATATATATATATGGGTTGTTTTAATTTAGTTCAAATATCTATCAATCTATGTCCATTATAATACAGACCAAAATTATGGACCTATCTTCACGAAATTTTGAATGTAGGATGGGTTCTGCCCAATGAAGACCCCTATTGTTTTTGGTAAAGATCGGTTAATACTTAGGAGATGAAATGAACCAAATACTTTTTTGTCGGTTTTTTGTGGTCACTCCAGAGGACGTAATTATGGCCGGAACATCACCAGTTTTTAGATGGAGAAGGGGATCGGGCCAAAGAATAAGCATGCCTGTTTTGATAAAGATCGGTCAAGTAATAAAAGCACTGTACTGAATATTAGTAATATTCGGAAACTATGTCAGGGTTAGGAAGAGGTACTATTGATTTTCAATCGGACAAGAGGGTGCAATTATCACGAAATATTGCCAAGCTCGGAATACTGCTCACTGGTTAAAAAATATTTTTTACAAAAACTATATGAGTCGACGATTTTTTAAAAATATTTTTTACAAAGACTATATGAGGCGTGAATTTTCAAAAATATTTTTTCCAAGGACTACTTCAGGACTAGTTATATAGTTAAGTTATTCATTTTAATTTCCACACATTTCTCGAAAATGCCAATAAATGTCTGTATGGCAATGAATTTACTCGAAACTGCTCCAATCTAATAAGCATACTTGCATAAAATTCACGCAAGCCGTCGCTTCTGTCTACGTTTGTCTGGTGCAGAGCAAATAAATGCAGACACAAAAGACCAACAAAATGCACCAGACCAGACCAAGCCAGACATATACGAGTCAGACAGACATAAGACGCCGCCAACGTTGACGTCTCAAACATAACAAAAAAAAAACAAAAACACCAACGCCACCAACAATGATGACAGAGAGACCACAACAACAAAAACAGCAACCATGACTTCAAACCAAAAAAAAAAAAACACTTGAAATGAAACCAAATTCCCTTTGTATAGACAGATGACCGTAATATTTTGGCTACTAGAAGACAATGACGGATGATGGATCTGAAATCTGCAAATGTTTCCAAGGAATAATTTTTTTTAATTTGCCATAGAAATTTTGATATTTGTTGCCAATGCGAATGTTGATGACTCACCACACAAACCATGTCTCGCAAAACACACACAAACAGAAAAGGTAACTCCAGAATCGATTTCTTGTCTATTGGCCCGTGCAGTATTTCTCACGTTGTGCTATTGCTCCATATGCCGTCTGCAACCTTTACAAGGCAACATTGTTGTCGCAGGCATGTAACATACAAAACGTCCATGCCGCAAGGCAACCTGAAGCAATCAATACCACCAAACATAAAACTCAAGCGTGCCCAGACATAGGAGTATCAAATGTGTCGGTCTGTATGTCTGTCTGGCATTGTCACGACAACAACGGCGGCGGTTGGCGGCTGTTGCAGACAAAACAATTACAACTGTTATGTTACGAGTGCGTCTGGTAGCAACACACATAGCCAAACGGGCGACCACAGCAGACAAACAGCCAACAGCACTTGTTGTTGCATATGGCTAGACGAGCCCTCTAAACATGCGCAATGTTGCACCCCTTTGAGTATTTTTTTATTAGTTTCGCATAAATACCAGACCTTTTTTTGTTTTTAGTTCGTTGGTAGACCTGAAAGCTTAACAAGCGACTTGACTGGCTGTCTGAGATTTGGTTTCGAGATTTTGACTCACCACACTAAACCATACGGCCAGATCAATGCCGTCCCTTGTCTGTCTGTGGTAAAGGTATGTCTGCGTGGCAGACAGTCTGGGTTTTGCAGATTTTTTTTATCTTCTCACGCAATGTCACTAAATCATGTTTCCTGTCTAGCTTACTGTTTGTCTGGCTAGAACCAGGTATTTTGTCGATGTGTAGTAGTGGTAGTGGCACAGACAGTGTTAATTGCTGGTCATTTATTTTGAAGACATGAACAAATTAATTGATTATAACAGGCGTAGGCAGAATGATTAAGGTGTCTGATTAGGCTGGAGAGCTCAGGGGAAAATGGTCAACCGATTATGAATATCAGAGCGATAGTGTTGGGCCAGAAAAGTTAATGATGTGTATTTTTTGGAGAAAAAATATTTCCCAGATATTTATGAGGAGTGGATTTTTTAAAAATAATTTTTTAAGTATTGTATGAGGGGTAGGGTTTAAAAAAAAAATTCATCTCGCATGTATGCTCCGAATTGGATGAAATTGAGAAAAATCGTTTCAGATTTAAATATAGCTCCCATATATATTTTCGTCCCTATATATCTTTCGATATGCACGAAATTTGGCGCAGCGTACTGAATTAACTCTAGAATGATGTGTGCTAAGTTTCGTGAAAATCGGTTCAGATTTAGATATAGCTCCCATATATATTTTCGTCCGATTTAAGGTAAATAGTGCACTAAAGTCCCTATATATCTTTCGATTTGCACGAAATTTGGCACAGCGTACTGAATTAC